AAAATTTATTGGGAAGTAAAAAATGGCTGAACATGTATCTCTAGTGCCGAAATAAATACGGCATGTTCTTAGATTTATTAGTATAATAAAATTACACTTATAACATCTAATCGAATAATGAAAGATAAATTTGTTACAAGATTACGCAAAAATGATGTGTAGTACCACTTCCATCAAAAATGGTTTTTCTTTTATGAATTTATTTCGGTTAAGATGCCGTCTTAAAAAGTTTAGTTGTTTATTAGGTAGTTGAAGTTGTAACATTGTTTGATATTTTTCTATCGTTAATAATGCAGCATACCACGTTGAAGAATAATTTTTTGTTAAGAATAAAATAAACAGAATGATAGACATTCATTTTTCATAAAGAACAAAAAAAAAGACCAATCCCTGGGTTATTACATCTATTTTTTTTTTTTTCTGTAACATTAATATTCAATTCAAAGAAATAAAAGATGGACTAATCTTTACACTTGATCACATTTCGATCTATAGGAACTTATGTATAACATTTTAACAGACACTTTCCATTACCTTTGACCTCCTAAACCTCTGGCAAGCACTAACAAAACAGATCTTCACAAACCTTTATATACGAACCAATGAAAAAAAAAAGTATAATCCTTCTAAACATGAAGATGTATTCCTACATTTTCTTGAAAGACATACTCCTAGAGATCTATTCGTGCACACAAATACTCATATCTCCAACACATACACAAATCGGAAAAATAATAGCAAAATGATGTTTAATGGTCGTGATGAGGGAACAAAGAGTGAAGCTGGACATCAGATTTTTTTTATTTTATTTTATTTTTATTTTTTATTTATTTATTTATTTTTTTTCTTCTGAGAATGAGGAATAACGTGGATTTATTTTTTGCGAAGATGGAGAACCAACTTGTTTTGAAGAAGGAGGAACATAAGCTTTGGTGTTGTGATATTTTCGATCTAGGTTGTCGTTCAGATATATGGTTTAGTTGTGTTGAGGTGTTGCTGGAAGTATAACAGTAATTGTTCAATGTAGTGGGCCAGCGGTTTGCAAAGTTGTGGGTTGTGGTGGCCGGCAAATCTAGCAGTCACCATAGTGGGTTGTTAGGGGGTGTTTTGATAGGAAAAACAAGAGGTGCTTATTGCTTATTCTCACAATAAGCTAATTTAAATGTTTGGATAAAATCCAACTTATTAGGCTAAATAAGCTAATTTTAATAAGCATTCCTCCCTATGCTTATTGCTTATTGCTTATTTCCACCACAAATAAGCTATAAGCAATAAGCTAAAAATCTAATTAAAAAACCCCTTAGATGGTTTTGAAGACACATATTGTTGTGTTATCTCCCTTTAAAAGAAAATAAGGTTTTTTTAAAGAGTAGATGACATCCCACTTTATAATGAGTTTAAATTTGTATTTTCTTTAAAACATTTTTGTGATCGGTTAAATTTGATATGCGTCTGTCTCGGAAAGAAAAGTCTGACTGAAAAAGAAGTTGGGAGATGGCTAACTGAGATAGAAAACAAGACTTTCCATTAGTACCTTTGGCTTGGTTAAAAGTTCACAGCTAATGAAAGGTACATGAATAAAACTTAGGTCTCCCTTGTGGAAGCAATGGTGTTTACCAGCAATTTGAAGGGATTTTTGTGTTTTATCTCCAAAATAATCTATTTAATGTCTATTATGCTGAAAGTTTTTGTATACATTATTATTATTATTATTATTATTATTATTATTATTATTATTATTATTATTATTATTATTATTATTATTATTATTATTAACGTCTATTATTATTATTATTATTATTATTATTATTATTATTATTATTGTTGTTGTTGTTGTTGTTGTTATATTGCATATAAATGTGTAGAGCATTGGGGTAAAATGGTCATTTTGTACCAGTCAGCATATTCAATCTGATTTTCAATCAAACAACATGATTTCTTATTTAGTTAGAGTTTCTTACTCAAACAGACCTTTCTCAGTCTGCACTTTCTCAATCATCAACTATCAAACGCGGCCTAAGACTTTGGTGTTAAAGCTTTTACACTTATCATTATGTATCCATTATATATATATATATATATATATATATATATATATATATATATATATATATATATATATGTTGAGATAAAAAAGGAAAAAAATAGTAGCCGATTAATTTGAAAAAATATATTGAACTTGGGGATGTCATGAATTGAACTTTGATCTCTTAAAAAACTAAAGGACTAAGGGTTTGTTTGATAATCATGCTAACTCAGTCAAAAAGGAGGACTCGATCCTCAATTAGAAGTTGTTGCGTTTGATTTGGGTTTTTTATCCACAGACTCGGTCCAAAGAAAGGACTCGATCCAAAGAAATCTAAGGATTCGGTCCTCATCTCAAAAACTCTTGACCGAGACCAAGCCTCATATTTTCCCTCCTTGCCCTTCTCCTTTTGTAGGCGCCTTCTTCTCTATTATATCGCCTCCACTCTACGTTGTTCATACTTCAACACTCGGTGCACTGAAATAAAGTGGTTGACTGGAAAATTGACGCCTTTTGCCTATGCCCTGGACGCAGCTTTCCAGAAACTTCAATTGATCCAAGCAACGCTTCCTTCCTTCCACCATCGGTCAGAAACTTCAATACTCATCCTCTCTATCGCTTCTATCTATCATCTTCATCCTCGTTGGAAACCTCCATCACCGCCAACCTCTTCACTATCGACCACCTCCTTCATTGTGGCTCAACCCCCTGAAGCATCTTAAATGGGTCGATTTCTTTTCAATTGCAGTTAAACCCTTCTGATTCTATCAATTTCGACTTTCCAAAGCTTCACGTGAAACTGCACATATTTGTTGGTTTGCTCATTTTCAACAGATACGGACTACAAGGGAAACAGATGCACTCTAAGAAGCAAAGGATAAGCTTCAAGGGCAACTGGAAGACCTTACTTTGCATTTATAGTTACATAAATAGTTGAAGGTAATGTAAACTAAACTAAACTCCATTTGAGTGATTAAATATTTGTGGTGTTAAATATTGTGATGAATATGAGAATGGGCTAATGATGCAGATTCGGATAGAAGAAGTAAATGGTCTGGAATGATTTATATGGATTGGATAAAGAACAATATTAAACAGGAGCATTACTCATTGTGTGCCTATTGTTAGGAATTTGGATAGCTTATTTGATTTGCATAATTAGGTGTCTTATAGTTGTGACAACCTTTGTCCTTAAGTTCAACTTTTTTTCTTTTATAGGTGTATGATTTGTTTTTATAAATTATAACAAGGATCATTGTATTTCATATTTTATAGCAACCATACATGATAATGGTTCAATCCAGGTACATATAAATGCAAACATGTGTTCCTTTTTATAGTTTTCAATTGATAAGAAGGTGAAGACAATCAAGAGATATATTGATTTTTTTGTTTTAATCTTCATGTTCCTGAGATTACTGCATACATGGAGTTAATTAATAATATATTGTGATTTGAGATTATTGCATAAAAGTATTATTATAAAAAATATTGTTTGAGGGTAATATGGTTATTTTGCACAGTCAGTCAGATATAAAATCAAACAACAAGTCTCAGTCAGTAGTTAACTCAGTCAAAATTTCTAACTTAATTAGCTTTTAACCCAGTCAGTTCTAATTTAGTCAACAACTTTCAAACGACCCATAAGTGGAATGTCATTGACCAGACGAATTACAAGTTGATTTTTGAAATTTTTATTTTTGTTACCTAAACCAGTAATATATATATATATATATTATATATATATATATATATATATATATATATATATATATATATATATATATATATATATATATATATATATATATATATATAGACACACACACACACACACACACACGTATAAATGAATTAACAAAGAAAGGGAGTGAGAACCGGAACGGAACAAAACCTTGGTCATCTTGAAGGTGGTGTAAGGCAAACCCCTTTTTCCAGCTGAACTAAAAACGAGTTTTGTAATTTTTTACACAGTCTATTATATATTAACAAACTAAAAATTTAATTTGGCTAAAATTCGGACCTTATTTTTTCGGGGCCTGTACGGTGACACATCTTGCACACTCTTAAGGTTGGGCCTGTTGAAGACCACCCAGAGATAACATATCACATCAGTCACATATGTATAATCATTTTCAACAAACTGGATTATAACATGATAAACATGACAATAACTATAAAAAGGTAACATACAATAGTTAATGATTTATTTAATTTATAGGTAATAATACAAAACAAGACAACAACAAACACATGTTAATATCACAAGAAATTCATGTCTAGTTTTGAACACAAAAAGGGTGCAACATGTAATTTTTTTAAGAATACATACGAACTGATATTTATAGTTCCATTTCATTTTAATTTCGTTTCATATCATATATTTTTATTGTATCCTATATTGATGTGACAAAAAACCGAAACCGAATAAATAAACTAAACTACAGTGGTTTGGTTTGTTGGTTTATAGTTAATTTTGTTAAGTTAATGAAATAGGAATAACTTTATTTGGTTTGGTTTTTGTTAAATTGTTTATTTATTTTTTGCTTAAATTGAATGAGAATTAAGTATAGTTTCTATATTATAATTATAATATCTTAGAATTTTTATTTTATATATTAGTTATAAATTTTTTTTTGTTTAACTTAATACTTAATAATTAATAATTAAAACTAATTTATATGTTGTATATATTATTAAATATATTACACAAATTAAACAAATAAATTATAATAAAGTAAAATTTTAATGTAATCCTCAATTGAAATCTTGTTTGATTTCACAGTAACAAAAATTGAATAGCCCAAAGCCGATATTATCAAACTTATTAGGCTTGGCTTGCTTAGAGTTAATTTTACGATGTAAAATATTCGATTAAATTAAAAACCGATTTAAGTGATCAAATAACATCCTGTCATCCATTGCCACCTTAGAATCGCAAGATTAAAATAAATTTGTGTTGGTAACATTAGGTTTACAAAAAAAGAAAAAATTCCAAAAGATTGAAAGTTAACATCCAAGCGAGACTTAAAACAACATGTAACAAAATAAGCAAAGGCACTACAACTATCCATCGCCAAACTCCCCACTTATCCGATCCAGAAGAATATTTCATTTGAATGGTCCGTAGAGCAGACATCCAAGTGTTGTCGTTAACTTCCACAACAGATCGCATCGCCAGATGAGACTTTTGGTTCTCAATCGACCTGAACTTTATGTCGGCCTCCAAATCTACAACGAAATCAACCGCTTTTGCTGGACCATACAGGGAAACATTCGTCTCACCCAGTCTCCTTCGGTGTTCACTCGTTGAAAACAAGTCTTGAATCACCACAGATGCTTGGATATGGCTAACCTCTCCATTCCTTTGATAAAACCCATTAATGGCACATCGGCCGATGATAACATCGCTGCCTGTTGATATGGTTGATTGCAAATAAGTGATGGTGAGATTTAGAGGATCCTCGTAGTAAACGCCTGTCCAGGAGTTCTCATTCTGGATTTTCAGTTCCACATAGACTGCGGTGTTTGTCAACGAAGTGGATGTGTTTTTCACCGAAACAACATTAAATTTGTAAACGTAAATGCTGGGTCGGTTACGGGATAGAAGTAGAACTGTAAAGTAACAGGCAATACTGAATACACATAGATGTTTGATTGGGGTTAAGCACGAAGGTTCAGGCATCAGGAAGAGTAAAGAGTATAAAGGGGAAAGTTAATGATAGCTGAAACTGATATTTTGTTTCCTTTATAGACTGTATATATGCAAGACCATACTTTTAAATCGTTAGTTATAAACTCCCAAAATAAGTTCCTGTAGTATCATTTCACTTATGGATAAAACATTTCACTTATGGATAAAAGAGCACATAATTTATTACTTCTAATCTCTGAATTTTTAATTGTTAATCTCTTAGAAATTTTTTTTAGAAAGTTTAATTAATTTATCATTATTTATTTAAAATGTTTTATAAAACATCCTAATTTAATTAGTTATTTTTTCTAAACACGCGGTATATTTTAATACGAACTATTTCACAACAAAATTAACCTAGAAATATCACAATAACTCAAATCTATAAAACTCTACACGTTATTAATAACCTAATCCTACTTCATTTAAACATTTTTATACGTTTCTTCAAATGCCAAAAAAATGGTTACAAAACTTTTTTCAAATTATTTTATCTTATCGATTAAAACTAAAATATAAAAAATAAAATTAGAATTATTAAAAACTAAAATATAATTAAAATTAAAAAGTAAAATAAAATATGATTAAAAGATAGGGATTAATTGTACAAACCATAGAAATATATTAGCAATCAATGTATATTATATGATCAATAAAAAAAGACCATAAATTTTATGATCCACTAATGTTAAGTGATCAATATAAAAAAGGTCATACTAATAACCTCTAAAAAAATCTCCAATATGCTCTAAGTGATTTCTTTCAAACTATTTGTTACGTTGTACGTAACCCCAAATTCTTATTATAATGTTGTTAGATGTGCTCCAAAAGATAAACCCGCCATAAACAAGGTTGATAACAAAATTCATCTCACATCCGGGGATTTTATTGTTGGAAAAAGCAATCGTGCTTGTTTACACAAAGATGAGGACTTCCTTACATTGCCTAACTTACAGAAGTTATGTTTTGAGGAAGGTTTTATGATTTTGATAACACTACAAAAAAAAAAAAAAAAATGCCAATTAGTGACGAAAACGAGATGGTCACTAACAGTTGAATTAGTCGTCACTAAATGATTTAGTGACCATACTTTTGGTCATCACTTGTCGTCACTATAGGTCCGTCATAAAACTGATTAGTGACCAAAATATTAGACCGGTCACTAAATAGTGACTAAAATATATTGGTCGTTAAATCTGTGATGACTGGTTTCATCACTAAATGTTGTCACTAATCTATGAAAGTTGTTACTGTTTCATCTAATTAGTGACCATAAAAAGTCATCACCGTGTTGTCCAATTTGTGACCATAGAAAGTCGTCACTAATTTATCCAATTAATGACCATAAAAAGTTGTCAATGATTTAATCCAATTAGTCACCAAAAAAACCGTCATTGATTTTTACTATTGTTTCTTGTATTTAACCCATTTAAGTAACTTTAAATTAACCTACAATATACATGTCACAACTAGGAATTTGGTGCCTCGTAAACATTGAGCAATGATAACAAATGTGAACCAACAATGTGAAAGTATGTAGGATGCTTATTTAATAACAACAGAATTTCAATCAAACACTTCATGCAAGTCCTGCAAATAGTCAACAAAGAATTGGAAACCCTAGAAATCCCGGTTTAAGTCCATTTTGGACTAGGATTTCTTTATTGTGCCCAAGGGGCTAATAAGCTTCCAATTAGACTATACTGGGTTTAGAACTCTTAAATGGGATCTAATTGGACCTTATTGGACCATAACAAGTTTAAATTAGTCCTAATAGGTCATAAAAATCATTCTTTGATTTTATTGGGCCAAAAATCATCTAACTTAACAATAAAATGGGCTTAAGCATACAAGACCCAATTATTTTTCCCTCCCCTCTCCATTCTTGGCCCAAACCATAAAAGAAAGGAAGGGTTGACTTTTCAATTGCCACCTCACTAATATTTGATGGGTTTCCATGCAAAGTATCATGCTTCCAAGTAACCATCAAATCATCTACTCTCTATTCCCCTCTCTTTTCTATCTTCGGCCGAGAGCAAGAGGACACACACACACACTTCATTCAAAACTCTCTCAAGGAAACTCTCTCCATTCTCTCCAAGTTTTCGAGATTTAGGAAGCTTTCAAGGAAATCAAACCACAAAACTCATCATTTAAGGTAAGTTCATGCTTGGATCTATGATTTAGGTTCTTTTTTTTTTTTTTTTTTTTATCAAAAACCTCCTCCTAATCCATACAAAATCATGATCACTCTCTTAGAAATCATCTAAGTTCGAGATTTACCAAGAGGACTTGCTAGGATCGAAACTTCTTCATCTCTTCCTTCGAAAACCGAAACCACAACTCAAGGTGAGCTTCATACCCCTTTCTCTTCGGTTTTTTATGTGTTTTATGGGGGAGAATATAAGAAAATGTGTAGATCTATGTGTATGTGTATGATGTGTGTGATTCTATGCATTTATGTGTGTTTTTAAGTGTTTCTATGATGAACATGCAACCACCAAAGGGTGAAACTCAAGATCTAGAACATGGGAAAGGAGACAAACATGATTTAAGTTATTATACACTAAACTCGTCATGAATGATAACTTATAAAATTATGATGAACATATTTCCAACATAAAACCCATTTTTGGGCTTAAATTGTCAAAAATACTAAACTTGGGATAAAAGTTGCCAAGTGACAGTTTCTTAAGGGTCATAATAGTCAAAACAGTTTCAAAAATTAATTTTCTGTATATTGAAATTTTAAAAGGATTAAGAATGTAAATGTTTAGCTTAATGGGCTAATTTTGGGCTTTTCGGCCCAATAAGCCCAAAAGATTTCATTTAAAGGGGCTGAAATGAAACTTTCTGCAAATCAGGGGATAATAAGTGTAACAAAACTATTTCAAGGGTCAAAATGTGTCATATTCCCCAAAAGGATCGTAAATGTAAAGTTTTTGAATTTTGGGCTAAAAGTGTAAAAATTCCAAAAATTGGGCTTAACCGGAAAAATACTATTCTGAAAGGGTTGAAAGCGTTAAAAAAATAAGTTTTGGGCTAAAATATCATTTCAGCAAATCTATGATGCAAAAGTGGCAAGGAAAATGTTCTAAGGTCTTAAAAAGACTTTTCTCTTATATATAGGACAAAAATTGTTATTTTATAAAAAGAAAAGGGCTGAAGAGGGACAAACTACATATTTTGATCAATTATCTTATTTGTAAAATTTTGAGTCCAAATAACAACCTACGGCTTACCAACAATCGAAAGACAAATGCACAGATAACTCCAAATCATCGTTATAAACGAATCGATCGTTCTCGAGTCGATACAAAATAACAATCGTTGAATCGAACCCCCTAGTAGATACACGATACTTAAGACAAGTAAATATTTGACACTTGGGCTTGAAAGTTTCAAATCTTTCTTGTTGGATCTTACAAGCCCATCAACATGATCTTTGGGCATAAGGGATAATGATTATATGTTATTAGGCCTTCTATGACCCAATTTCATGTAAGGGGACCTTAAATGGCTTTCTAAATACTATTGGGCCCTAGTGATCCATTAGTGTTGTCATAAGGTCCAGGTCATCAAATGTGAGATGGGCCAACGTGCCTTTTGCATCCCCGATGGCCTAAAGTAAACTCACGGAAGTAGCAGGATTGTACCCCTGCATTTCCTTGTTTGTTAGGCTTATGAGTAATCAATGTAAACAGATTCATGTCGTTAATCAATAGTAATCAGGGTTGTTTGGATTAAGTGAGTAACCACGAAGGACGCCTCTAAGGACCGTTTGTAAACTGTAGTTATTAACTAGTCATTTCTAATGCATGATTATAACAACTTACAAACCGTAATTAATCCAACACCTCCCGAGTAATCAAGGAAGAGTAATCAAAATCATTCATTGTGGCGGTATAAAAATTTGGGAAATCAATGTATTTTATGTATTCGGAAAACATCGGGTTTTCCAAGGAAGTTCAACAAATTTCACTTGAAAAATCAATACTAAGGTTCTACAATTATACATGTTTTTTTTTATCATCCATATATTTACGGATCTTCACACTTTTTATAAACAATGGTCTTTTCAGAAAATATTGGATTTTCTGGGTTTTACAAACTACACAAAAACATTTTATCACAACATTGCTTATGAACTCACCAACATTTCATATGTTTTTTTTTTCAAAATAACTTGTATTCTCAGGTAACAGGTAAGCCGAAGAATAAGTACCAAGTATGTCAGGGTGTTTTGCTTATGATATCTATCAAACAATTTATGTCATGATGGTGTAATATTCAGAACTATGTACTTGATGTAAACAATAACATTTGTACTATATTAATGCATGGGCATGTTTATGTTATGATTAATGTATATTCATTGTGATGATATTCAATTTAATTCACGCGAGCCCTCGGACGTTTCCGCCGTCTGGTTCGGGGGTGTGACAGGTTGGTATCAGAGCTCTGTTTATAGTGAACTAGCATATCTAACCACACATTGATATGAAATTATAAACCAAAGAGGGACTAACACAACTCTGAAAAAAGCAAGTAAAACACAATGAGAAAACATCTTTGCTTTTGTGAATTAATAAACAGAACACAATACCAAACCAAACAAGATAAGTCTAGCATCTCGGTTAAGACGGGACTGATCATAGTCGTATCAAGGAGTGGATGTAGCCTGATCAACTACATTTCCTCTAAGGTACAACTATCGCAGGCCCTGAGGAAACCACGATAGTAAGTGAACCTAACAACGTAGCCCTCTATTAGCAAAAAGAAGAACATCAACACAACTTATACAATAATTAAAACGTCTTAGGAATAACGATAGCATGTTTATACACTCTCACATACAACATGGTTGGTTTCCATCACCCCGAAGATCCTTATTTCCCAATTCAGGGGAATAACGGATGGCTGGAAGAACCCGAAGAAGAGCCTGAAGAAGACTCCGAGGAGGAGTCTAAAGAGGAGCCTAAGGAAGACCA